GACTGTCTCATCTTCTTTACTTTTATCTCCAATACCTTACATAATACCAAGTGCATAGTGAATATTTGATAAACATTTATTAAAGAAATACACTAGTAGGAATGTGTTATGTTTTTATCCTCAGATTCTCAGAGTATGATAAATACCTCCAGATTTAGCTCTGTTATATCTTCCTGGAATTCACTATCTTGAGAAGTAAATCCGGGATCAAGGCTGTGCTAACAGTGCTGAGATTGGATTGTTGGGGTTTTTTTCTTTGTGGCAACTGGACTTCAAACACCCCCACTTCCAAAATGAAGTTTGACCTGCTAATATTAGGGCAGGACGGAAGAATATCCACCTACACCTACAATGTCTAGAATCCAATGTAATCCCTTCTTCTAGTCAATCTGTGTAGGCCAGAGCATGAGAATTTCTAACACCAGAGAATGGCTGCAAACCTGGACAGTCCAACGATATCAGGAGGTGTTTTACATAGTAGAGCAATTTGAAGTTGGACCAACTAGCTTGAACTCCATCACTAACTAGCTATGTGACCTTGAACAATTCCTTCAACTTTTAGGTGTCTTTCTCCTCATTTGTCAAATTGAATGTTAGTGTAGGGAATCACTGAGTTCATTTCTAAGTCTAAGATTCTTCAAATATCTAGAACTAGCTTAAAAATATTGAAATTATTGTCTTTAAAAGCTCATATTTTGTTTTTAATTCTCCAGGAGTTTCTTCTTCTGATTCAGAAGGGGACCCTAACAAGGAAGAGATGAATCGGTAATTCTAATTTTCTATCTTATAGACTCAGTATCCTCAGATACTAAAAAAAGTCCTAACTGGTTACTAGAACTTGAGGAGAGAGGCAGATTTGGAGAAGACTCTACTTATTTTGCTTAAGTCTTGCTTAAGATTAATTGGAATATTCTCAGTATTTAAAATATGAGGTGACACTTGTAAAATATTGTATTTATATCTACAGAGTATAAAAACCAWWAMCCMAWWRKTTWAAAAAGCTCATATTTAGATAGTACKATAAGAACACAAAATTTGGTTATCCTAAATTATATATGAAATATATTTTAACTTTTATATATTATTCATAATTTTATGTATTTTATATACATACCATTTAAAAATATTTACATCTCTTATTTACTGTGTGTATATATGTATAGATGTGTGTATATGTTCATATACATATATTTGATCTGGAAAAGTTATATCCTTTTTGCTAAATAGTTGTACTATATACTGAACAAACTTGCATCCATTCATTTGTTAGTTTCTGCAACCATTGACTGAGCACCTACATTACCCCAGGCACTACACTAGATGCAATGGATATTAAGAAAAGTCAAGGCTGGCATGGTGGTGCATCCCTATGATCCCAATTGCTCAGGAGGCTGAGACAAGAGGATCTTGACTTCAAAGCCAGCCTCAGCAACTTAGTGAGCCCCTAAGCAACTCAGTGAGACCCTGTCTCAACATAAAATATAAAAAAGAGCTGGGGATATGGCTCAGTGATTGAGTGCCCCTGGGTTCAATTTCCGGTACAAAAATAAAGAAAGATCAGATGCTTCCTTCTTTCAGGAGGTTCACACCTAGTAGAAGGCAATATAGAGGTAGCAAGAAATGAATACCAAACATATAGATGATAAGAGTTATATAATAGTCTATGATGACCATGTGCATGGTGTACAGGACTTGGTACAAAAGAAGAGTTATTGGTTGGGGGTGCAGGGAGAGATCAAGAAAGGTTTTACAGAGTGGGTGATCCTAAACTGAACCTTTGAAGAACAGAAGGAGGATACCCCCCCAAAAGGGAGAGAGGAGCATTCCAGCAGAAGTCCTGGGAATAGAAACAGACCTAGTAACCATTCCTGAGGCTACCTGAAACAAACAGAAATATCTGGGAGCCTGGTTGAAGAGACRTAAACTGTGTTACCCCTATCGAGAGTAAGCTCCGTGAGGGCAGAAATCGTTTTACTCTTCAGAATCTTTTGTGTTTATCTACCTGGCAATGAGAATTTGCTTTCAGCTCCTGTGCAGGAACATTCAGGACCAGAGTCAAGGATGCTCCCTTTAACCACTTCCTCATCATTCTCAAGGCCTTGCTCCAGTTTCTTCTTCCTGCTGGCCTTCCATGCCAGCCTCTTCCTTAGAGGGATGCCCCAGCCCTCTTCTCTCTTCTACAGTCTCCAAAGTATTACTGATTATTCTCTATGAGATCATTCTGCTCCTATCATTTTCCTTCTTTAAAAAAAAATTATCTATGGGAAAACAAAATAAGAAACATTAAAAAAAAACTTAAAGCCTTATTCAGTGGAGGATCCACTAGTCTTACCTGGCCTCCATCTTGGGCTGTCTACACTGCTGACATCTCACTCAAAACAATGCATGGTTCATCTTTTATTTTTCATGGCAAATTCCTACTTATCCTTCACAACCTGGACTAAGTATTCTTCCTCTTGGGTTTCTGTAATCAATTCCTCTTCTATTACACACTCATCACTCCTCCCTYAAGGTTTCCCATAAATATGTTAAAAATTTAATGGTATGAATTTTGATACATTAATTATGCAAGAAATAGTTCATTTATTTATTTGCTATAAATCTAATTGTATTAGTTAAAATTTAACTTCAATTGTATATAATAGAAACCCAAATTAACTGTGATTTAAATGAGATAGATAGTTCTTATTTACATAAAAATCAGGTAAATGGCTTCGCATTCTAGTAGGTTTCAGTCTGCTACCAGGTTTCTGCTTCATCTCATGTTAAGGTACACCCTCATTTTCTTAGTTTAAGATACCAAGGAATAAAGGGTATGTCCATCTCCTTTGTAAGGTCAGCTTTCTAAATAGCATATTTCACTATCCCTCATATCCCATGACTAAAAAGAGCCATTTGGCCACACCTAGTTGGAATGAAGATTGGGGCATGTAGTCTTTTGGAGCAGTCATGTAAGGAAATCAGGGGTTTTGTTATTGCAGAAGAAAACCCATGCTTTAGAGACAATGATAGGCTTTGCATCACCATGTAATTCTGCTTCTTAGACTCCATCCTGCCTGGTTAGGATCTGTCATTATTGGGTGTCTCTTCCCCCTCCACAGTTATGCAAAGATTCCTCTGATAAATATGGAGCAGTATGGGAGCAAGCATCACTCTAAGCACCTGGCATGAATTATCTAACTCTCACAAAACCCCTGTGGAATAAGAATTACTGTTCCCCCATTTTAGAGTTGAGGAAGCTGAGACACAAGAGAGGTAACATTCAGACCAAAGACAGGGAAGCCTTCTGTCAATGGTCATCTCTTCTCCTGGGTTACAGGTGAGAGGCCCATGTGCTAGATCTCAGTCTTTAAGTCCAGTGTTGTTTCTTCCCGACATGCTTCAGGACTGATGTTTTAGCAAGACTGGAACCTTCCACCTTTCCTCTGAATTKAGGTTCTTCCCCTTGCCAGGCTGTCTGGCCAGATCCACAGATCTTTCTGCCTTCCCCACAAACCAAATAATCTTTCCTCCACAACCTTGTCAAGAATACTTCCCAGTTCTTTTGACCTTAAAAAAAATCCCTTCAATTTATGTAAACTTGAAGATTTTGGATTATTATTGCTTTCTGCCATGTCACAATCCCAGAGGTAACAATATACAAAGCTTGGCCTCTTACTTGGAACAACAAGAGGGAAAATACAGACAACAACAAAACAAATCTAAACAAGATRTCCTCTGCACAGGGTTCTGTCACATCTTACATCTCAGGTGATTTGACTCCCTGGCTACACTGAAAGCAAGTGACCCAAGGACAATGGTGGCATATCCATCTTCATATTTGCATTTCCTAACAAACTGTATAGAAAGGAAACTCTCGGTAAACATTTGTAGAATATTGTCAAACAAAGATTTGTATTACATCCAACTATAAGGAGTGATGACATTATTAGTTTTGCCGACAGAGTTTTCACACACATTTGTAGTTCTGATTTATAATCTATATTTTAAAAATTTCTCAGAATCCAGAAGCCAAATGAGGTGTCATTACCTCCTACTACCTCTGCCGCCATTCCTCCAGCAGTGCCCCAAGCTCAGCATTTGGTGACCCAGCCCAGAGTGTCAACCATCCAGCAGGTATAAGAATCTAGGTGAAACACAAGTGCCATGGACCGTGATGGACATGCACTGTGACCATGAGCTTCTTGTATAGCATGATCATACTCTTCTTTGTTGCAACTAGTCATCATAATAATCACTTTGGGGGCTGGGGGTGTAGGTTAGTGGTGAATAACATCACTGTAGATTTGTTACATTATCTATCCATGCACAATCAAAGCCCTGAGTTCAACCTCCAGCACTACAAAAAAATTAAATTTAATTTAAAAATAAATTCAACTTAAAAAAACATACAAAATAAAGTTACATGATAATTAATTTGTACTTCCCATGTATGGGGAAAGTGGTTGCTATTGCTTTGTGAACTTCTTACCTAGTTACATGGGCAAATATCAAAGGAAAAGAAGCTCTTTATGAGCTTGTCTCTGACATTCCAGCTTTTTAAAGAGGGCTGATTACATATCTAGTGAGCTACCAGTTCTCAGATTGACCCAGGACAAACATTCTATACTGTAAAACTTAGTTTCATGGAGATGCAAAGAATTCTACTTTCTGAGTAAGCAGGTACAAAATTATTTTTTAGAAAACAGCAAAAAGGCTCTTTTGAGTCAATAAAAAATAATAATAATATATGCTTATAGCCACACATGGTGGCACATGCCTGTAATTCCAGTAACTCGGGAGGCTGAACCACTAGGATTGCCAGTTCAAGACGAGCCTCAGCAACTAGTGAGACCTTGTCTCAAAAGAAATAAAAAGGGCTGGGGATGTACCTCAGTGGTAATTTGCCCTGGGTTCAATCCCTAGAACTGTAGTAAGAATAACAACAACAACAATAACAAAATGCTTATTGTAAAAACATTTAAAAAGTACAGACATATACTGAATAAAAACTTTGGCCAAATTTCTACCTCTATGCCCCCTCTTCTCAGAAGTACCTCTTATTAATGGTTTCTAGCAGACAGTTCCAGGCATTTTCTAGGCAAATATAAAAATAAATATATGTATATACTTTAAAACATATGAAATCATACTATCGAAATATGTTCGTAAGATGTTATAGATATGTTTGTTGACCAATGATAATATATTTAAATATGTTATCTACAACCTTTTTGAAAAAAAGTTCAGAGTTTCTTCTCTAGCCCATTTAGTAATGCACAGAGATCAAGTTTTAGTCCTAATCCACTGGTTTTCAAACTGTGATTGAGGCAGCCCTAGGGATTTTATGGGACCTCTTCAGGAGGTTAGGTCCAATTACATGCATCCATGTGAAGGGGCTGGAGTAGAATGGACACCACATATTTTACAGCCACCGTGACCTAGAAAGAAATGCAATCAATTCAGACTAAAATCTGAAGTTTATGATTCATAAACTTAGAAAGCATGTCTTTTGATTTGGGATTAATTTTACACATCAMATTCTGTAGATTTGTTGTATTATCTATTCATGTAATGATTTTAGTGACCATGACTCTATTGCTTGTTCCCTTCTAACAGTGTCAGAGCCCTACCAACTATTTGCAAGGATTGGATGGAAAACCTATCATTGCAGCTCCTGTGTTTACAAAGGTAATCAAAATATGGCTTCCTTCTGTCCTGGCTTTAGGGACACTGCAGCATCCAAATGAAGTTTATGAAACAAGATTTGCTGATTTTATCTCAGGACTTTGGTCTCTTTATAAGTACAAATAAGCTTTAGGTTTTTTTGTTTTTGTTTTTGTTTTGTTTTGTTTGTTGGTTGGTTGGTTGGTTTGAGGTAATTGTCCAAATATCATTCCCAGTCCTTGATTTCTAATGTCAGTTTTTACACTGATCCTGATGGTCACACCTGAGGATCAGGTGATAAGATTCTAGTCACTTACTACTCTAGAGGTTTCTCTGGACTTTCAGAAGAATCTAGTTGCAGGTACCTGTTTTTGTGCTCAAGGAGATGAAGTTAAATGCTCTTGGGAGGTTGAATGGAAAGCCTCACTCAAGGACAAAGAGCTTTCTCTTTCTGTTCCATGGTGTCAGCTATTGTGGAGTCATCAAATTCTGAGTCACATAGTCTTTGTATTTAGAACTGGAAAATTCAGTTGGGCACTTTCATTTACAAATGAAAAAAACCTCGGGGGAAAGCCAGAGAGATTAAGCGATTTGGCCAATGTCACAGGACTAGTTAGTAGCAGAATGAGGATGAGAAACAGGTTCTCCCACTTCTCAGCCTTTCGTTCTTTCTTTTATATAACAAACTGTTCATATGTTGCCCCAGACAGTGAGTTCAAAGGTGAAAAAGTTGAGTCACATTGCATTTTTCAGTATTCTGAAGACCAAATAGGTGCAACCTATGCCTGGATTTATGTTCATTGTTTGTATGAACACCCACCTAGGTCTCAAAAGATTTTATCTTCTAAGATATAAGCATGGGTATTACAGAAGTGGTTATCAATTGTGGTTAACTCTCTTCTCCAAGGGTCCATTGGTAATGTTTGGAAACATTTTGGGTTGTCACAATTGGAGGGGGGCTGCTAACATTCTATACTGAATAGGATGGTAGCCCCCAAAATAAAGAATTATCCAGCCCCAAGTGTCAGTAGGGGTGAAGTTGAGAAATCCCAATTTCAAGCAAAATGGTCAAAATGGTCTCTTGCAATGAGTACTAACCCTTAAAAGAGCTAAGTTCACAACTTCCACAGAAGCATTCATTTCAAGGAAATCCTGACAAATCATACCGACTCATGCAAAATGGTTTTCCAAAATCCATCATGAAGTCTAGCTGGTGACTACCTATATCTATATCAGTTAGGCACATTTTCATAGGTAAAACAAGATGCCTCTCAATTTTTCAGGTTGGTTTACTATAATCTGCCCCTGAGGTTTCAGTTTTACTATTTTCAAAGACTTGAAATAGAAAAGCAATGTGTTGTGACTAGTGGATACAAGACTTTGAGGAGGAATTAAAGAAGGACCTTTGTGAGGGGCGGGGTATATGTATGTGTGCATGTGTAAAATATAGCTAACAGAGCTTTTTCTTGTCATCTCTTATTGCCACTGCTAAATCACCTAGTCTTACGATACAGCSTAAGTGCCACAAAAATGTTCTATTTATTTTAATTTGCCATGCCCATTTGTCATACCTTAGAGACTGCTGACTCTTCATGGCACTAAACCACCAAGGAGTTTATACCTGGCCTCAATAAAGTCTCCTCTTTTCTGTTCTGCAACACCATCTGCCTCACCAGATAGTTGACACCAGAGAGGTGTCCTTATCTCCACTCAATTTCAAATCTTAGGTGCCCTAGTTCCAAGCATTCAGATCACCCAGAGCACATGTGTCTGGTACATTTATCAAAGATAAAGTTGTTTACTCTCTCTTTCCCAATCACCTTGAAAGCTCCCTGTAATGAATAGATAGGAGTTCATAAGGTAATAATAGGTCCAAAGCTATTTTTATTATTTTAACAAGTCTGATAGGAACCTTTAACATTAATTCTTTACACTTCATTTTCACAGGTTGATGAACACATCAGGTTTAGTTGCTTTTGTGTGGTGACTGATCAACTCCTAATTAGATTGGCAGATACATATGCCTTTAATAAATAAAATGGGAAAATGAATTAATCATTAGATAAGGCATTTGTTAGGTAAAATCTCTGTATGCATTAGCTTCATGGTGGGAAAATGGTCCCTGGTACCTAAACTCTGGGCAGGCTTTCTCCGCCCTYTGACTTGTGATTTTGCCTCCATAAATGGGATGAGGATTGTACAGACATAGGGCACTAGGATAGGCTGTGGCTCAAATTCCAGAGAGACTTATCAACCACAGTGTGCTTGCGTTAGTTTCCGTCAGCCAGGGCAAGATTGAGGTCATAGTCACTGCCAGTGTCATTAGCGAATTTCTGAGTCAGAGCTACCAAGGATGGTTTCACGTGGCCATGAGCAATGATAACAGATCATTTGCATATGTTTGTTGGGTTATCCCTGCTCTATTTACTTCTTTGGGAACTTCCGGAGCTCCAGCCCCTGTGACTCACTTTCTATACTGCCCAACAAAGCATTTCTTCACCAGTTATGGCAAGAAGGCTYGTTTTGTTTTAAAGCAATGATTAGAGAGCAGAGTTTTATTTAACTCCTTTGGCCATGGAAAATTACTTTCTAAACAAGGTTAAAATGAAAAGGAGAATGGCCCAGAAAAGCAGTGGTAGAGTTTAAGAGAAGGTGATGGAATATATATACTTGTTCACTGATCTACTTAAGAGAATTTCTGTGTTTTTGTTTGTGGTGCCAGGAGCCAACCAAGGGCCTCATACATATTCTGCAAGTGTTCTACCTCTGAGCTCCCAGCTCCCCAGCCCTCTTAGGTTTTTAAATGCTTTTAATTGTGGGTAGAGCTAGACTATCCTTCGTTCTCTATGCAGCATCGAAAATATTTTCACTTTGCCATGGGGGGAACAGGACTCACACTTCTTGAGCAGGAGAGAGGGAGGTGATCAAATTAGAATCTTGCTCCTATCACTGCTCCCACTCAACAGCAGCTGCTCTGGCAGGCTTTCAAGGCTGCAGCGGCTCTGGCTCCAACTACTTCAGCAGTAATTTGAAGAGTGCAAGGGGGCAGGGGAAGTGAGAATTTGAAGAGCACTTCATTATATAATAGTAGAGAAGGGAAACCCTGAAATCATGGGGCCCAGTAGTTGAATCCAGACTTCTGAAGATTTCATGGGGGGCTGGGGATGTGGCTCAAGCGGTAGCGCGCTCGCCTGGCATGTGTGCGGTCTGGGTTCGATCCTCAGCACCACATACAAAGATGTTGTGTCCGCCGAAAACTAAAAAAAAAATAAATATTAAAGAAAAAAAAAAAAAAGATTTCATGGGCTCTTCTCCCTAGCCCATCAATTCCAGAGAATTTTTCACAGAGCACCTGTGACAATCCAGGGGGAAAGGACTTTCAATAAGTTTTTTAATCTGTAAAAACTGCTCTGATCCAACTCCAGCCTAAAGTGCTGTACACATACACTTGCATCATGTCCCAAGGTGCTAAAATATTGACTGGGTTTAAAAACAAATAAAATGATAAAGTGAACCTTGTAGCTGACATTTTTAAAAAATATATTTATTTTTTAGTTTTAGGTGGACACAATATCTTTATTTTATTTTTATGTGGTGCTGAGAATCGAACCCAGTGCCTCATGCATGCTAGGTGAGTGCATTACCACTTGAGCCACATCCCCAACCCCTAGCTGACATCTTTTAACCAATAAAGGAGATGCTCCTTCTCAAGAATGTCCCTAAATGCTATTTGTGGGAAGAGATCTACCAAGCAGAAATTGTGTCTTTTCAACTCACATTTATAACATCTGGTACTGTGCTTGGCACAAAGCAGGCACATTGTAATATTTATTCTGTGGCAAAGAACTTCCATTTCAGTTAAGAAAGGATTCTTCTTTTTTTCAGCATTTTGTGGCTTTAGAGCAGAAGGGAAAAAATTCAATATCAAGTGACCATGCTTCTCAGGGTTTTGTGTTGTCAAGTTATTTGGAAGAATGTTCTCCCAAATGATCAGTATGATGATGACACACAAGACAGAGTTGCACTTTGGACATTGTTTACCTCTGTAGACCTTTGGTTTTGGGGCCTTTAGTCCAGATCCATAATTCCTAGTAAAGATTAACTTAATCTTTCCTAGGCCATTTCATTTGTCTTATTCATCTGTAGTGAGGTTAATATGACTGTGACTAAGCATGTACATATCCTATGTTTTAGTCTGTTTCCTGTTACTATAACAAAATACCTGAGGCTGGGTACTTACAAGAGGAAGAGTGTATTTAATTCACAGTTCTATAGGTTCAAGGGCATGACACTGGCATCAGCTTGACTCCAGTAAAAACCTCATGATGGATAGTATCACAATGATGGGATGAGAAGGAGAGAACACATGGCAAGAGGGAAGTCAGAGTGAGGGGAGGGGCCGGTAACAATTTCCCATCAGGCCCCACCCACCTCTTAAACATCCCACCATCTCTTAACATCATCACACTGGGGACCAAGCTTTTAACAAATATACCTTTATGGGAGCACTTGAACCATATCCAAAGCACATCATCTTTCCATTAGGAAATAGCCTAAGACCCACTATGACAAACAACTGACTTGGACCCTGATATATGCAATATGACCAGCCCTCCTTTTTTTTTTTTTTTTGGTACCAGGGATTGAACACAGGGTTACTTAACCCCTGAGCCAGATTCCCAGCCCTGTTTTATATTTTATTTAGAGACAGGGTCTCACTGAGTTGCTTAGGGCATTGCTAAGTTGCTGAGGCTGGCTTTGAACTCACAGTCCTCCTGCCTCAGCCTCCTAAGCCTCTGGGATTACAGGCAGGCACCACAGTGCCCATCCTAGCTCCTTCTTAAGAGACTTTTCAGAAAGAACAATTTTCAGTGGTAACAACTATTACTGTCCTTATAATTAAGGCTTTCATCAGCTTTCTCTAAGTGGCTTGTAAGAAGACCTTTGGCATCTTTTTTTTCTGAGTATTGATTCACATTGGAATGAAATTTCACCTCCCATCATGGACATTAGTGGGTTTGTTCCATACACTGTAGCTCAAAGGTATCTTGGCTGGCCTCTCAAATAGAACAAAGGTCTTAGTTTTCAGTGTCAAATGAATAATAACAACCAGCYAGTGTTGGTCTAAATCATAAGTAACACAATTTCGAAAGGAAGTCCTTTTTCAAGCAAGGCTTTAGTATATCCTCTGTAGATTGAGAGTTGGCTTACATATCCAAACTGCAAGCCATGTTGAACATATAGATTAACCTCATTTTGCTCACATCCATTTTGTAAATGTGTCATATTTCATTTAATCCCTTCTGTCACCACCTTTTATACTGGGGGGATGGTTGGGAAGGGATGGTTTTCTAATGTGTTTGCTTTAAGATGGAATGAAAACTCCACTATGTATGAAATCCAGAGAAATGTCTGATACTGCTAAAGTTTTCCATAGGCCCCAAGGCTCCCATTTAGCACAGAATTTGCTCCGAGGTCAAGGTGAAGGACATATTCACCTGTTTGCCAGGAGCAGCCAAGACCCATGGATGCTTCCAGCATTTCATTCTTGTCACTGGATGAGGTAGACAAAGAAAAAACAAATTTTCAATAAAATAGTTCTTTATTAATTCAGAAACCACCACCCTGTGCTAATTCCATCATGAATCACTTCAACAAGCAAATTTGGGGATGGGGGAGAAAAAAACACTAACGTTGAACTACAGTGCCCCCTGGCTGTCACAATATCAACATACACACACCCCTGAGGTAAAAGTGCGGTTAAAGGCTTGTGGTTTCTTACTTCTTACTCCTCACCCTTGTAGTCCTTAGACAAATGCTATAAATGTGAAAGGCCTTGCACAAAATATTCTAAGTTRTTCGAACAAAAGCTGTAAAAAAACACCACAAATTATTTTTAATAGTGAATGACAAAAGGAAGAAGGAACTACTGACTTTCCCTTCCTCTTACGTAAGAGCCAGTATTTCCTAAATGCAGGTTCAAAAATTGTAATAACAAAAATCCTTGCAGCCTTTGGTACTTACAGAACTTAGAGACAGTTTAATCAGAATATGTCCATGTTTCTAGTCTTTAGGCCCAAATGGAAAATAAAAATATGCTCTCGCACATGCCAAAGAAACATTTCATAATCAAACGGAATACCAACCACACCAAAGAAGGTGTGATTTTTAAGCTCACAAATCATAATGAATGAGGATGTAGTTCTGAAAGAAAAGTGTGCATTCCATACTCCCATAGAGTCTAGAATCGACTTTACAATTACAGTATCAACTTTTACAATTCAAAGTGAATTTTGTAAGCGTTTTATCATGGAGGTGTCGAAAAGCATTTCACAGAATTACAACATATTTTACAATGACTCCATGTGTGACTACGATTATATAAAGGTTGTCATTGTCTATATGCCTCAATAGATCAGTGAGACTGTACTTGTTAAGACCACATAAGGAAAACAAAACAGCAAGATAAAAAGCAATTTCTAGAACAACAGAATGTAAACTAAACAAAGCCTGCAAGACAAATCAGTTACTTGGCCACAGAGCTGTCCCACATCCTGAACAACCACATTTCTTTGTGGAATAATACTTTACTTCTGTGTTGAATCACCTAGTATATATTAACCACAGATTTTTAAATTATTATCATTATTGTTATTTCTTCTGAAAACCAAATTCTATGTGGGTGTTTACAAACAGAAGTATTTTACTAAAAATTAGCTTCTTTACTCAAAATGTTTTGCAGGATATTTAATAAATTAACTTAGCACAGCAACAGCTGCAAAAGGAAAAATAGTGGGGAAAGAGCTTTATAGAGGTCAGTGGTTCCATATTAAAAAATAGACTCAAATGTACATCCACGGACTCAAAATTGTAGAAAATTTGGAAAAAAATCCAAATATAAAAGAGAGAATGTCTTTTTTTTTTTTTTTTTTTTTTTTGATACCAGGGATTGAACTCAGGGGCACTTGACCACTGAATCATATCTCCAAGCCTATTTTGTATTTTATTTAGAGACAGGGCGTCACTGAATTGTTTAGCACCTCACTTTTGCTGAAGCTGGCTTTGAACTCATGAACCTCCTGCCTCGGCTTTCCAAGCCACTGGGATTACAGGCATGTGCCACCACGTCCAGTGAGACAGTGTCTTTCATAAAATTCAACACTGAGACTACATTCCAAAGATATATTCTTTTTGGTTCTAACAATATTCTTCTCATTCTAGATGCTACAAAATTTGTCAGCCTCTGAGGGTCAGCTGGTTGTCTTTGAATGCAGAGTAAAAGGAGCTCCATCCCCTAAAGTTGAGTGGTACAGAGAAGGGACCTTGATAGAAGATTCTCCAGATTTTAGGATTTTACAGAAAAGTAAGTTGTTGCTGTAAAACTATTTTTCTGATAATTTATTTTTATAAATTGATTATATGTTTATTTTTAAAGTTTTAGCAACTAATTAAAAATATACTAAAAAACTAAGTTAAAAAATCACCTATAATCATATTCCACAAGACTGAACTCTATTATTACTTGGGTGTATATTCCCCAAGAATTTTTTTCCCATGCATATCCTTTAAAATAAAACTGACATGCTGTTTTTTTTTGGAAATGTATTTTTTTACTCAATATTTCATGGGCATATTTCTATGTTAATATAGAACTTTATTAGTCTCAAAAATATCTATTTCATATTTAATCTCCTGTTGAAAATTTAAATTGTTACAATTTTTTACTACTATAAACTAGGCTTCAATGATGCTAACAGCACAAATCTTTGTGATTATCCATAGTTGTTACTTTACAATAACTTTCTAGCACTGAATTGCTATTGTCAGTACATAGTTTTTAGGCTTTTATTATATGTATTGCCAAAATGCCATCTCAAAAAGTTGAGCTAAATTTAGACTGATTATACAATTGATCAGCCAAATTGAGACCCTTTGGGATGTGCAGGGACCCCAAGTATAAACTAGGTCTGTTCCAGACACATGTTGCCCTACCTATACTCTAGCACAACCAGCAATGCAGGGAAATGCCTTTTGCCTCACATGTTCACCAACAATGGTTGCTAACCATTTTTTTAAATCTTCACTAATTTTACAGGCCAAGTATAGGAACAGTTATTTTAATCTGCATATCATTAATCAGATATGGGAGGGTACTTTTTTGTATTTATTTAGGTTTTTTATTTCTTTTATTTCATGTTGGGTTTTGATTCTTTTTATGGTAAGAAAGCTTTATATAGTCAAGTGGTTGATTCTTTTTTTTTTTTTTTTAATCACATACTTTTCAGCTTGTCTTCCAATGCTTTCTCTTTGATCCTTTGCAGTCCCAAAATAAGTTGCAACTTACTTGCTCCTTTGGTTAACTATACAGAACAATCTACTATAGAAAAAACTTGAGAAGGAAATTCACTAAAATATTGGTAGTCTTTCTCTGAGCAGCAAGCCTAGGATCAATTATTTTGCTTCCACTTGCATTTTTGTGTTTTTCAGTTTTTCTGTGATGAACATGTATTACTTTTGTTTTTTAGTTTTTAGGGTTTTTTTTTTTTTTAAAGAGAGAGGAGAGAGAGAGAGAGAATTTTTAATATTTATTTTTTAGTTCTCGGCGCACACAACATCTTTGTTGGTATGTGGTGCTGAGGATCGAACCCGGGCCGCACGCATGCCAGGCGAGMGCGCTACCGCTTGAGCCACATCCCCAGCCCGGGGTTTTGTTTTTCTTTTAACGGAGAAAAGAACATACAAAACTTATTACATGCCTAAAGACATGGGAGTATTAGACTTCTCTTTATCTTTTTGATGAACAAAAATTATATAAACTAGTCATGGTGGTGCACATCTGTAATCCCAGTGGCTCCGGAGGCTGAGGAGGAGCATCACAAGTTCAAAGTTAAGCCTCAGCAATTTAGCAGGCTCTGAGCAACTCAGGGAGACTCTGTTTCAAAATAAGATATAAAAAAGGCTGGGGATTGGCTCAGTGGTTAAGCACCCCTGGGTTCAATCCCTGGTACCAAAAAATAAAATTATATAATTTATTTTATACAACATGATATTTGATATATGCATACATTGTGGAATGACTATACTGAGCTAACATGCATTACCTCACATCACCCCCTCCTTCTTTCATGGCTGAATTATTTGCTTTTTTTCTTCCAATCTCAAAATGGTATTACTTTGATCAGTGTGAAATATGAATAAGAACTACTCCAGGTTTTAGCAGTAGTATCAGAAACAGTAATATATTCTAATACCATTTAAACTGAGAGGGAAAAAAAAAAACCTCCAACAGTTCTATCCATGTAGAATATTCTAAGTTCAACAACAATTTATGGAGTGCCTGCAATTCTATAAACATTCACTGAACTCCAGAATCTGGTTCTATCGTGGGCATTTTCAGGTATGCCAAGGAAATTTAAGATATAGAACCTGTTCTCAAGCAATCTATTATCTATTCTGAGGCTCTTGATCCTAGAAACCACAGAGCAAAAGGTATATTCTACATTTTACATGATCTCTCAGTCTTCACGAGGTTTTTTTCAGGTAAGGCCGAACAAGCACCAATCAAAGCAAGTCATTTCAGAGTCCCAGCCAACTCAGGAACTTTTCCTTGCCAAAGGTTTATGTACCCCAGTGGACCCAGGTGTGTTCCAAGATGCAGCAACATCATTTAGATGCTCTGTTGCTGCCCTTTTCTGTCCCTATTGAGGTTGTGGGTGCTTAGGTCATTAACATCGATAGATTAACTTTATCTAATTACTCCTAAGTATGCAAGAGACTACTAAATTCTACAGGAAACTTCTGATTTAAATTAAACAAATGCTCAGAATTTTTTTCTTTCTTTTTCTTTTAGAACCTCGATCCATGGCAGAACCAGGTAAAGATCATTACAACAGGGGCTGGGGATATAGCTCAGTTGGTAGAGTGCTTGCCTTGTATGCACAAGGCCCTGGGTTTGAGCCCCAGCACCAAAAAACAAAACAAACAAAGATTATTGCAACTTTAATTTTTTTAATATGTAATGAGTGATTTGATATAGATAAGAACATGTTGAAATTACACTGGTGTCAAGAGAAAGAGAAAATTAAAGTTTTAGTAAAAAAAGATCCAAATGAATCCTAGCTATTATAAGAAAATACAATTTGCAAATTTTGAATATATATGCAATACCTGGTATTAATGCAGTGAGTTCTTGATTTTTTTTAATATTTTTTTTAGTTGTAAATGGTCCTTTATTTAATTTATTTATTTATTTGTTTGTTTATTTACTTATTTATTTATATGTGGTGCTGAGGATTGAACCATTCCAGGCAAGGCTCTACCACTGAGCCACAACCCCAGCCCTAGTTCTTGAGTTTTGAGGATTATTTCACAGGAATTATTTCCCTACCATCCTTGGCCTCCAATCATACCTTTCTTAAACTGGGCAGAGCAATTTTTCTGATACCAGATCAATTCCAATTCCACAACCTATGTGCCTCAAATTTGATGCATCAAATTTTGAAATTTGCAGAGACGCAATAAAATGTTTAGTTTGATGCTATTATATTTAGTTGGGGGAATACTAGATGAGATAGATGGAAGTGACAGTAGGTGAAACTCTTACCACTAGAAAATGCAAGTCATTCACAAATCAGGATGTGAACATCTGAGCACCCTCTCCATAACCACCTTGAAGAATCAGATTGTTTGTATCCCTGGGTGAGAAAGATGGTTTGGAATTCCATTATCATAATTCTTTTTTCTGACAACTGAATGGAAATGAATTTCACTCAAGAAGACCTTGAAATCCATGTTACTTAACCCTACACTAAGGTCTTAGAGATATTTGGCAAAGACAAGAAGTGGATTTACTTTTTTTTTTTTTTTGCTTATAATGGAGTGGTACTTTGCCCTTCAAAAATGTTCGGGCCTTTTGTAACAGGAAAGCAGGCAGCTAAAACTCAAACCTCGATTCTTTTGTTCTGATGAAGAGAAAATTTAAAGTCAGATAGCAAACATCATACAAGAGAACTTCATGGGAAGTGAAAATGAGGGGAAAATAAAGTAAAAGAAAAGTGAGGCTTAAGCAAAAACACTCTCAAGAGAGAGAATGGGCCGTCTCCAAGTAGAGAACAAAGGAGACAATACTGTCCCCAATTTTATTACTACTGTTTGATGTTTACCAGAAGTGGGGACCACCTTCCGTACTCTTTGACAATCAGGTGTTCATCTCCTTTTTCAGTGGGGGGGAGGGGGGAGTTTTTGACTTTAGTTGGTCCTCTCCAGAACTGTCATGGTGGCCTTCCTATTTAGGTGGCTTCATTTACAAGTCAATCCCATGTTAATGTGGGCATGGTCATTAGCTGGTCAGAAGTTACCTTAGTGCGAAAGGAATCTTCCTTCCCAGATAAATGGAGACACTGATAGCCATAATTCCTAGCTTTATGTCAACGTCAATGGACCCTGTCAAGAGTTAGTACCATTAATCCTTTTCTCTTGACATATTTCCCAATTAGCTCCTTTTGCTTCTATTTATTTTTTTTTACAAATTAACTACCACCCTTTGCTTTCTTGTCTACTTTGGAAGTAGTTTAAAGAAGAACCCTAAAGTAATTTAAAGAACACTTGTGACCTTGCCTGCATTTCACTGCTCATTGCTAGCTATTATCAAACCCCTTGATACTTCCGACCAGAGTGGGAGTTTTCATTAGGCAGTCAAATACACAAAATAGCTTCGGAATCACCCCCAAAATAAACCCAAACAGGTCCTGCCTTTTTCAGTTCCATGACTGAAAACTCCGCAGCTAGAAAGTTCTTTCTCCCACCTTGTATAATGCAAATACATTTGGAGACAGAACACAGGCAGAATATCAGGCAGGTATAGTATCCTGTGAATAACTTTATAAGATCATTTTCTGAGAATGGATTACTGAAAGATAAAGAGTGTGAATGTTTGGGAAAGGGAACAGAAAAGGCAGCATAGGCCAAGGGTTTAGAATAAGGTCTGAGAGTCACCAAAATCAAACTTTGCTTCTACATGATTTATGATTCTTTAGACAGCAAGTAAAGAAGACTTAAATAAAAACAGCGTAAACAATAATAAAAAAAGGTATTTTCTCACATAATAAGACTCCCTAAGAAATGGCAGTCCTGGTATTGGTAACTTTAGCAGCTTGGAGATCATCAGAGGCCAAGCCTTTTTTCCATTTTGCATTCTGCCATCAGCAGAATATTCTCTTAGGCTGCTTCTACTCTTGGACCTAAGATGGCTGCCACAGTTCCAGGTATCACAACCACATGACAACATCCAGAGGCAAAAACAGGAAATTGCACTAGCTTCTGTTCCCTTTAAAGGGCAAGGAAAACTTTCCCAGAAACTCTCTAGCAGATTTTCCATGACATCTCATTGACCAGATAGTGTCACATACTACCACTTAACAAGAAGTTAGCATGACTGGTTTACCAATCATGATTCATCATCTAAGGTTAAGAGGAGCCAGCTTACCTTAAAGGTGCTGGGGATCAAACCTAGGGCCTCATGCATGCTAGGCAAATGCTCTACCACTGAGCCAAGTCCCTAGCCCCTTTTTACTTGTATTGACTTTTGTAGAATCATCTAATTGATATTAGTAAATTCTGTAATTTCACTTTCATGATGAAATCAGTAATAATTCTGTTTTATTGACATGTAGAGGAAATTTGCACTTTGGTCATTGCTGAAGTGTTTGCAGAAGACTCTGGCTGCTTCACATGTACTGCAAGCAATAAATATGGCACAGTGTCAAGCATTGCACAGCTGGATGTGAGAGGTAAGGCTTCTTAAGTGCCAGAACAGTTTAGACTGAGTTGGAGTGTGAGTGTGCAGAGTTTGTCATCCTTCCTTAGTGTTTCACATATGAATCAAAAAAGAATTTAATTAAGAAAAATGTTCTTGAATCATGTCCAATATTCAATTTCTTATTGTATTTAAAGCCACCACCTGTACCACCTCAGTTATTCAGCTATTGCTTTCATACTTCATAAGAAAACCTCTCCTTAGGGTTTTTTTGTTTGTTTTTGTTTTGTTTTGCTGTGCTGGGGATCAAACGTAGGGACTTGTGGATGGTACGCAAACTCTCCATCACTGAACTACCTCCTCAGCCTTCCTTGGTGTTGTATGAATGACTAGACACCTAAATTTTTATGTATTTATTTATTTTTATGTGGTGCTCAGGTTCAAACCCACAGCCTCACRCATGTGAGGCAAGCATTCTACTAGTGAGCTACAACCCCAGCCCTAAATCTTTTTTTTTTTTTTTCATCAGGGATTAAACCCATGGGCGTTTAACCACTGAGCTATATATCCCCAACACTTTTTTAATTTTGAGACAGGGTCTTGCAAAATTGCTTAGGGCCTCACTGAGTTGCTGAGGCTGGCTCTGAACTTTTGATCCTCCTGCTTCAGCCTCCTGAGCCACTGGAATTACAGGTGCATGTGCACCACCATGCCTGTCTTAAACACCCAAATTTCTTTCCAAAAAAAATGCTTATTTTTCTTTTTTTTTTTGTTGGCTTTTTGTTTTTGTTTTTAGTGGTGCTGGGGATCAAACCCAGGGCCTGTAGACTACTAAGTATGTGCTCTACTACTGAACAATATCCACAGCTAAGTACATAGATTTTAAATTTATTATTTTCCTGCATCCTCACCTTTCTTTAACACCCCAGATTCTGATGTCTTTTTGCCAAACATTTTTCCATTGTACACTTGCCTGGTTTGATTACTGTCCCTTTTGTACATGTGCCCCAACCTGAGGTTACAATCCCATTCAACCTTGTTGGGTAAGGCTAACAATTCAGGTCATGTGATTGTCCTTTCAGGAAATGAAGACCTCAGCAATAATGGGTCTCTTCACCCCGCCAACTCCACCACCAACCTGGCTGTTCTTGATCAACAGCCATCCCCACCCAACCCAGAGCCTCCTTCTGTGGAACAGGCCCCCAAGCCCAAACTAGAAGGGGTTCTGGTGAATCATAATGAACCCCGGTCCAGCTCCAGGATTGGGCTCCGTGTACACTTCAACCTGCCTGAAGATGACAAAGGAAGCGAAGCATCCTCTGAGGGTGGAGTTGCAACCACCAACCAGACCAGGCCCAATTCCTTCCCGGAGAGATTCAACGGACAGGCCACAAAAATCCCAGAGCCTTCCTCACCCGTCAAAGAGCCCCCTCCAGTTCTGGCCAAACCCAAACTGTAAGTAAAAAAATTAGAATGAATAACCAAGAGTATCTGTGAGTCTTTGTTGAGTCTGATCTTCTTAAAAATGATGGATTTGGGGCTGGAGTTGGGGCTCAGTGGTAGAGTGCTTGCCTGACGTATGAGGCACTGGGTTTCTATTCTCAGCACCACATGTAAATAAATAAGTAGAATAAAGGTCATGAACAACTAATATATATATATATATATATATATATATATATTATATTTATATATATATAAAACTTTTTTTAAATGATGGATTTGGAAAAGGGAATTATCAAACAAGAAAATATGCATCAAGTGCATTGTAAAAGTACATCCTTGCGGTGGTGCACACTTATAATCCCAGTGGCTCAGGAGGCTGAGACAAGAGAATCTCAAGTTCAAAGCCAGCCTCAGCAACGTCGAGGCACTAAGCAACTCAGTGAGACCCTGTATCTAATTAAATATAAAATAGGGCTGGGGATGTGGCTCAGTGACCAAGTATCCCTGAATTCAGTCCCCAGTACCCAAAAAAAAGTATATCCTTACATCACTGTGGATTTACTTTCACTATCATCCATATTATTAATGTTCTACCTCAAAACACTGTTCAGAAAGACACTTGTCTAAGGTCAGAGTTCTCTGGGTAAATGTCTATACTCTTATTTATTTATTTTTCAGTACTGGAGGTTGAACCCACAGGTGTTCTATCATTGAGCTATATCCCTTTTTGTTTTGTTTTGAGACAGAGTCTCACTCAGTTGCTGAGGCTGGCTTCCAACTTGTGATCCTCTTAAGTTGCTAAGATTAGAGGCGTGCACCACCACACCCTATTTGTGCTCTTTTTCTAAAGCCCTTTCTTGTCTAGTAACATTGATAGTCTGTGATTTCAACCTTGTGTTTCCCATTTCTGCTTCAATTTAAGCTTTTGTAGTGATTATGGAAAGCTATTTAGTTGGTTTTTTTAGATAGTTCTTTGCTATTGCTGGATACACTATATTAATCATAGTAGGTTTTATATAAATATCACTGGATGAAAGAAGTGATGGTTTTGTGATTCAACCCAGAAACTGTGGTTGTACCATAACTCTCTAGAGAACCTCTGTCAGAGCTGTGTGGCAATGTTTGATGATCATCCAAACCAAAGCAAATACAAAGAATAGCTGGGTGCAGTGGTGCACTCCTGCAATCCCAGAGGCTTGGGAGGCTGAGGCAGGAGGATTGAGAGTTCAAAGCCAGCCTCAGCAAGGACAAGACACTACGCCAACTCAGTGAGACTCCGTCTCTAAAAAAATAAAAATAAAACGGGGCTGGGATGTAGCTCAGTGGTCCAGTGCCCCTGAGTTTAATCACAAGTACCATTAAAAAAGACAAAATACAAAGCATGATACTAGTATGTTCAGTTTCATCTACACAACAAAATGATAGAAATTATGTTTATAATTCMACAAAACTTTTTAAGTATCAACAAGAACATCTACAGCAATAGTGTTCCCACTATGAATTGCTTACTACTAACCATGAAATGTTCATGGGACACAAGTCATGCTGTTTAGTTTTGTTACTGAATCAGGCAGGCCCATGTTGCCCACCACACAGCATGCTGATCACTGAAACCAAGAGTTTTGCAAAAGAGAGTTCATTCATGAGGTGTGCGGATGCGAGATCAAGTCTTAATCTGCCTCCCTAAAAATAAAGTTTGGGGATGTTTATTGGCTGAGACATGGGGAAGGGTGATCAGATCAAAATTCATCAACTGTAGGGGCTGTGGGTTTGGCTCAGTGGTAAAGTGCTTGCCTAGCATATGCAGGGCTCTGTGTTATACCCAGCAATGCAAAAAAAAAATAATAAAATAAAATAAAAAGGAGAGAGAGAAATGTCATCAAGAGCAGGTGAAGGCTAGAGGGTTTATTCAGGAACTAAGAGAGAAGGTTTATTTAGATCATCCCTCTGTTTCAGTTCTATATTCTTAACACATAAGGCAAAATTCTGGGCATAAAATTCAATTTTATAAAATGTGTCTAAGCAAGTCACTTCCATAAATGTCTCAGTGCCCTCAAAGTTCTGCCAGTCTCAGGAAGCAAAAATCCACTTAAAGTAAAAAGAAGGGAGGAGATTATTGAAGGGATATAGACAGGAACAGAAAACAAAACTCTCCCTGCAAAAGAACTGGAGAGCTGGGAGCTAGGCCTCCTGGCCTGTGACTCACTGAAGCTCATCCAGCTGACTCACCTTCTGTCTGGGTGTCTCTTTGTTTTTCTTTACATATCTGCTCTATTCTTCACCATTTGCAGACTTATCAATTCTTTTGTGACCCATCATGACTAAGTTCCCCCTCTCTAACATGATCTGTGCCAAATACCACACCTGATTTACTTGTTCTCAGCAGCTTGATTCCAAATTCTAATTGGTCCAGACTGGTCAGGTGACCACCCCAACCTAGCTGTGCAGAGGATTTGTTTGGAAGGAAGAAAAGTTACATGGGTCAGATCAGGAGCCATGTATGGAAGTACTCAAAGGAGGGAGTTGTGGGGAATAGGTAACCCCAAACAACATCCTTGGGGATTGCCTTCTTTGTAGGGATTTCTTTTACCCAGGGATTGTGTTGGGGGTATTAGGTATGTTGGTTAGGGTTAAATGGAGCTTCATATTACAGAAAGCCAAAATAAACACATGAGGGTTTATTTTCTCTCACAAAAAAAAGGAAGTAAATAAGGCATTCTGGGGCTGTTTTGGTAGTTACATGGTCATAAAGAACCCAGTGTCCACCAGTCATGGAGCACTACTTATAATCCCAATGACTCAAAGTCTGAGGCAAGAAGATTGCAAGTTCAAGGGCAATTTAGTGAGAAACTGTCTCTAAATAAAAAAATAAAAGAGTATCACAGTGTTGGAACACTCCTAGGTTCAATTCCCAGAACACATACAGGGGGAAAAAAATCTCCTCTCTTTCCCATCTGCTATCTCCAATGATGGCTTCTCTAGGGACCTTCTGTAGTCCAAGATAGCTGATGATCATCTAGTCATCATGTTTGCATTTCAGGTAGCAGGAAGAGTGAATGGGCAAAAGTCACGTTCTTTTTTTTTTKTTCTTTTTTCTTTTTTTAGTTGTAGATGGACACAATGCCTTTAATTAATTAATTAATTAATTAATTTTTATGTGGTGCTGAGGATTGAACCCAGTGCCTCACATGTGCTAAGCAAGAGCTTTACCATTGAGCTACAACCCCAGCCCAGGAGTCACATTCTTAATGTCAGAAGCCCTTTTAAGGAATCTTTTTAGAGGTGTCATCAAAAATTTTCTGCTTTTATCTCATTGGCCAAAATTTAGGCATATGGTATAATAATTGCAAAGTTAGCTGCACATACTGCCACCATGAATAAAATCAGGTTCTTTATGAAGGGGAGAATTAAGTAGACATATGAGATTTCTAATTAGTTAAAAAAAATTCTTTCTGTTAATTTATGTAGTGGTACCCTCTAAAAATATAGTCTTAAGCTCTATATACTTCCTTGGTATTTCTTGATTTCCTTAAGTCTTCTCTTGAGGGGCTGGGGATGTGGCTCAAGCGGTAGCGCGCTCGCCTGGCATGCGTGCGGCCCAGGTTCGATCCTCAGCACCACATACCAACAAAGATGTTGTGTCCGCCGAGAACTARAAAATAAATATTAAAAATTCTCTATCTCTCTCTCTCTGTCCCCCTCTCTCTCTCTAAAAAAAAAAAAAAAAAAAAAAAAAAGTCTTCTCTTGATTGTGTGTACATATTTTACACTAGTATAAGTGTGAATGTATATGTATGTATCTTCACACATACACATACACACCTTTTATAAATCCATATGCCTATAACTTTTCTTGCCAGTTTTTTTAAAAAATATAATGTATACTGATCGAATCAGGTAATTAGTATATCCATCACCTCAAAAATTTGTCATTTCATTGTGTTGGAATTTCTCTTACTAATTTTAATCCCACTGGTTTTAACCTCACAAGTTTTGCATTAAAAATATATACTCATTCTTCTCAAGGATATAGTGTTTTGCTTATTCCTTCAGTTTGTCATTCATATGGAAAATAGAGATAATGTCAATTTTCAAACTGCCCCAGGAATGGAGGCTGTCATTCTTAAACACCATATCACCAAAGCCTAGATAAGTCTGACTTTGAAATTTTCTACTTGAATATCAAGCTGTTCAAAGCAGTGATTTTTCATCCTACTTACACTCTAGAATAAAATGTGGAGGTTTTAAAAAAAAATTATGCTTTCCATCTCAATTGAACCAGAATCTCTCCATGGATTATTTTAATGTGCAACCAATTTGGAAAACCATTTGTTAGAATTAGAGAAATGACCTGAATTGCTACCTTCCATACCCAGGAAACAAAAACAATTGTTAACATTTAAAATGTAAATGTAAAATGTCAGACAAAAGTCAGGATATACTGGGAAAGCCTATGCTTTGGGGACAAGTGTTTCTGTGGAACATTGGTTCTGAGTCCTGGATGCATATAAGATCACCTATGACCTTACAGTAAGAGCATTACTCTGAATTGGACACGGCAGGCCCAGAGTTTATGTTTTAACCAGTCCTACAGGATATACTAAGTCTGGCTGAACTTTAAGAACAACTGACTTACATTCACAAAAGATAACAATAACTGGACCTGGATCCCTTCCCATGCCAATTAACTCTCTGGGTATTGGTGCCTAAATCAGTGAGGTTTGTTTATATTTTACCGTTTCCAGGTGATATAATGTACTACCAGTCAGTGAGCACCTCAAAAACCATAGCCCATCTACTTATATTACTCAGTGATGTCCTTGGAAATGTTTAAAAACTGACAGGGTGAGAAATCCATAATGTTTAGCACTTGCCAATTTCCTTCCACCACTGCAGATTTCAAATTACAAAAGAAGGACACTGAATCAGTAGTTCGGAGGAGATGCACTCTAGTTGTCTTTCTGAGCCAGAAAGAGCTAACTCTAGAACACACTGCCCAACATTGATGCCAAAAAGGCTTTCAAAAGTACTTAATACTCAAGTTTGTTGTGTTATGATTATGTGACATTTTATCTCAAAATTTCAAAATTCCTACTGTGCATGGTGGTGTACAACTGTAATCCCAGTAACTCGGGAGAATGAGCCAGGAGGATTGCAAGTTTGAGACCAGCCTCAGCAACTTAGTGAGGCCCTAAGCAACCTATCAAGAAATATTATTAAAAAAAAAAAATAAGGGCTCAGTGATAAATGACCTCTGGGTTAAATCTCCAGTGCCAAAAACAATTTTTTTCAAAATCCCTAATAAATTCTTTCATATCCTTATCATTCTGAAACACAGATGTTCATTCTTACAAATTTTGAAAGTTGACTTTTATAGTCACACACATACACACACACACACACACACAGAGAGAGAGAGAGAGAGAGAGAGAGAGAGAGAGAGAGAGAGAGCCATCATTTCTCACAACAATACTGAGATATTATTACTATTTTACTTATAAGGGACTCTGGATCAGAAAAGTCCTGAGACTACCCAAAGTCACACACACAATAGGGATTGAGTCAGAATTAGGACTCAATATGTCTTTCTATCCATTTATTTAAACTAAGTAAGAGAAGAGAGTTGATAAATATATGGCAAGAAAGCCTTAGTATAAACCTGATATCAGAAATCTGCATAGCAACTAGAAATGAGCAGCTGAGTTTATAGCAATTTATTGGCAGGGTGTTACTTGGCACAAGAGGAATCACTAAGGATTTTTGAACTAGTATGTATGGTAATTCATCTTCTCTTCTTTCACTCTTTCATTGCATTTTGCGCCTTTGTTAGGAAATGACAGATTCCAGATGTTATTTGTAAATAATCACTGGTTATTATATGTCAGCATTGGATGGATGGATGTCCCACTAGATTTGTCAGTACTCAAAAGCTCTCAGGCATATTTATATCTTCAACCTAGCAAGGTAGACACTCAGAAGACTCAATGAAAGTTTTTGAGCTGGGTGCTGTGGTACACACCTGTAATCCCACTGGCTCAGAAGGCTGAGGCAGGAGGATTGCAAGTTCAAAGCCAGCCTCAGCAACTTAGCTAGGCCCTAAGCAACTTAGTGAGACCCTTTCTCTGAAAAAAAAAATGGCTGTGGATGTGGCTCAGTGGTTAAGGTTCAAACCCTGGTACCAAAAAAAAAAAAAAAAAAAAAAAAAAAAAGATTGGAATCAATTCCTTGTCCTGATATAATGAATAAGCTAATTCAAACAGCTGTTTAAAGACCTCTCTGAAATAAGATGAGGTTCTTTCAATGAAAAAAAAAAAACTTTTGAAAGACATAGTCTCAACTGAATTCTTTCAGAATCTCAATCAAAATAATTTGACCCTAAATCCTATGTATCATTTTATTTAAGGTTTGTGAACCTCTCTAACCCAATGAGGTCCACTGAACAGTAGAGGCTAACAGGCCATTTAAATTCTTACTTGTAGGAGAAAACTGGATCTTAGCTTTTATTCAATGGGAAATAAAGAAAAATAAGAGCAATTCAATACCAAATGACTTCCTGGCCTCTCCTTATCATCCTTTCCTCACCTAAGATAACTATTCATGCATTACCTTTGCAATTCTTATAACCATACTACAATATTTCTGCAATGTCATCAGATTAAAATTTACTTAGACTACAAACATGTTCTGAAAACCACGTAACACTTTATTCTACAGCAATCACAATATGACCTGCCAAATCTGAGATCCATTAAAAATTAAAAGGTTTTTTATACTTTCATATCATCAGAAAAGTCAATACCAGCAGAAATGATGTTTACTGTTTATATTTTTTGGAGGAAAATATKAACAGTAAACATTAATTTTTCAATTATGAAGCAATGAAAAGGTTTAATTAAATTTTAATTATACTACTTATTCTCTTGGCTTAAGAACTCACCTCTAATATGAGGGAGAGGGGGAGGAAGCAGAGAAAGTTACTGTGCCAAGGAACCAATGCTCTTGAATTCTTAGTTTTATTTAAGACAAAGAGTTTTTTTTCATAGATGAGCAAAGGATCACTCAATTTGTAGCACTCCACAGCAGTAATGAAAATAGAACTGTGTCTTTATTTTGTGAACTCACCCTTTCCACCTATGATATATTGGAAATGTTAATGAAAAGAAGGAAAAAAGGTGTTAAACTCCAAAAAATTTAAGAAAAATCAAGAGGTGAGGGTTATAGCTCAATGGCAAAGTGTGTGCTTGGCATGTACACGCCTTGAAAGAAAAGTGATTAATACAGCATATTGTCTCAGAGAAATCAGCCCTTGCAGGAACTCACACCTGTGCATAGCTCAGCGCCTATCCAAGGTTGGGATAGTAAGGAACATTGTCTCTCTCTCTCTCTCTCTCTCTCTCTCTCTCTCTCTCTCTCTCTCTCTCTCTCTCTTTCTAATTTATAGACATTCTATGTTGCACAACTCCAGGGTCACAGCACAAAGAATACAATGTGCCATAAAGCCCTTAGAGGAAGAAGGAAAGACAAACTCACCAGTAATTGATGAGCTGATTTCTTGCTGCTCTGGTTGTGGGTTCATAATCAGCATCAGGTTATAAACAGTCCATATACATTTTCTGATGGTAATGCCTCTCTCCTCTCTCTCCATTCTTGTTTTGTGTGCAGTGATTCCACTCAGTTACAACAACTTCATAACCAAGTCCTACTAGAACAACAACATTTGCAAAACCCATCTCCTTCATCGCCTAAAGAGTTTCCGTTCAACATGAGTGTTTTGAACTCCGTGGCTCCCCCGGCAGTGACCACCTCCAGCAAGCAGGTGAAGGCCCCTTCATCACAGACATTCAGCTTGGCCCGGCCGAAGCATTTCTTCCCCTCTTCGAGTACCACCGCAGCCACTGTGTCCCCATCCAGCTCTCCAGTGTTCACCTTGAGCAGCACTTCCCAACCCATTCAGAGGACAGTGAGCAAAGAAAGCCTCTTACTTTCTCACCCCTCTGTGCAAACCAAATCTCCAGGCTCCATTTCCATCTCAAATGAGCCACCCCCTCCAGGTCCAGCAGAGCCAGCACCACCACCACTTGTGTTTTCCATCCCTAGTGGAAACCAGTTTCAGCCTCACTGTGTGTCACCAACTCCTGTCTCTCCCACCAACCGGATTCAGAACCCAGTGGCTTTCCTCAGCTCTGTTCTGCCATCTCTCCCTGTCATCCCACCCACCAATGCCATGGGACTACCTAAAAGTGCACCATCCACGTAAGTGTCATTAAAGTTTTTTGATGGAAGAGTTGCCAGTTAAGTGGGAACCTAGAATAGCCTGGTCTGGGGCAAGAGTCTTGTTTAGTGGATTCCTAGATAAATCCTCTCTGTTAGACAAAAAATGGGTTTCAAGGACCTTGAACACAGGGCATGATTGCTTTGAATGATTTTTTTTTTAATTTTATAATCACAAATCTTTATTTTTTCTATAGATCAAGTCTAAACATTTTCAAAAGCAGTAAATTATATTGGCACGTTATTATTTTGTAAACATTATTCACTGAGTCGAAAGATTTAGGTCTTATTAAGTATTTCCCTGTGTCTCTAAACATGACTCACTTGAAGGATATGTTTCACACCTCAAGTTGAAGCTGGAAATGTGTGATTATACCGTGTTTATGGGATGTCTTTTCCATTCTGTCATTCAGGCACCCAGGACCCCTCCATTTCCCAGGTCTTTAAGAGTCTTCTTCATTTGGTTGGTGGAAAGAGAAAGAGGGAAGATAGCACACAGGAGAAGTTGGAACACATAGCAGAGAAGTTTACATCCCTTCTGTCAGGCCTATTAGCTATACCTCTGTCAGCATGTCTGTCTAATTACAAGGAGCCTGGAGATGTATTTGTTTTGTGCCAAAGAAGAGGATGTGATCCTGGCAGGCACTAGCAGTTTCTGACACTGACTCCAAAGTAAAATAGAAATTCAGAGGGCTCCACAAGAAACTTATTTAAAAAGAATTAAATGACTTCCATATTTGGAAATCAGAAAATTTGACTAACATAGGTCAGAAAACACATATTTCTTCCATCCACAAGAAAAAAATAATGTAATAATAACAAAGAAACAAAATGACTTAGGAAAATTAGTTAACAATGAAACTAGCAAACTCAGTGGGAAATAGAATCCTACAAATTGGTTGTGTTCTAAAAGTAAAGCAAATTATAATCCTTGTGATTATAAGGAATTAATAAGGTTTACAAAAAAGAAAAACTTCAACTTGAGCTTTGAATGATTTTTAATAACTAAAAATTTAAAAAAATATCTCTAGAAACAGATTCTCTGTATAGTGCTTAATCCCACAAGTGCCTAATAACTACTGGTATCTGATTTCTAGGCCTTTGTACAATGCTTCATGCTCTTCATGATGTGTTCTGTGTGAATTTATTTTATAGGCCCTCCCAGGGATTAATGAAAAAAAATACAAAGTCTCCTCAACCAATGAGTGATGATTACATTCGTGAAGCTAAGAATGCAGTGATTCTAGACTTGGGGAAAAAAATGAGTTTCAGCGATGTCAGATCAAACCAGCAGGTAAGATTGTTGGATTCTGGTAGTTTGAATGGAATTTTATTGTAAGGAATGTAATTTTATTTAATTCAGTCCTTGCATACTTAGGTCATCTGACCTCAGTGAAGTTGATGCTACAGCTTAGGTGGTAGAGCACAAGCTAAGACTCACACAGGAAGCTCACGTGCAGGAATCTGCAGTTCTTGATTACCCCATTGTTAATTCATTTTACATGTTTATGTGTTTGCCTAGGATAGAATATACAGTAGTCTCTCCTAATCTGCAGGAGATACTGTCCAAAATGCTCTGTGGATACTGAAACTGCAGACAGTATCCATCCCCACATATACTGTTTTTTCCTATATGTGCATAGCTATAATAATGTTTAAATTTTGGGGGGGGGTACTAGGGATTGAACTCAGGGAAACTTGACCACTGGGCCACATCCCCAGCCCTATTTTGAATTTTATTTARAGACGGGGTTCACTGAGTTGCTTAGCACCTCACTTTTGCTGAGGCTGGCTTTGAACTCACAATCCTCCTGCCTCAGCCTCCTGAGCCACTGGGATCATAGGCATGCACTATCTATCGCACTGGGCAACAATATTTAATTTTAAAATTAGACTCAGTAAGAGATCAACAACAATAACTAATAATAAAATAAAATGAACTGGATATGGTAGTACACACCCGTAATTCTAGGGATCAGGAGGCTGAGGACAGAGGATTCAAGTTTGAGGACAGTCTGGGAAATTTAGTGAGACCCTGTCTGAAAATGAAATGAAAGGGACTAAGGATGAAACRCAGTAGTAAAGTGCCCCTGGATTCCATCTCCAGTACTGCAGTAAAAAAATGATTATAATAACATACTGTTATAAAATGTATTTAAAACTTTTAAATTTAATTCTGGGAAATTTTCGATTTAATATTTTTGGAACCCAGCTGACTGCAGGAAACTGAAACTGTGAAAAGCAAAGTCATGCATAAGAGGAAACTACAATATTCAAGAAGCAGGGAGAGTGTCTGTTGTCTATTCCATCAATCCTCAGCTCAGCTTAGACAAACACCATAACATCTGAGATATTTTGATATCTGTGTCTTGAGATGTTGAGACTTTTAGGAACTTTGAGTTTTAAGCTGTCTTTCACTTGACAGCTTTCCTTCAACTTTAGGTACCCTGAGGTGTGATCACAAGTTCCTCTCAGTTTTTGTATTGGGTTGAATCACTGAAACAGCCATCAGGCAACATCCTGTTTCACCAAAGAGGAAAGGAAAGCCTGTGAGCATCATGCAAACAGAAGAAAGATAGATTATGTGGTTATTTGTGGTTTTGATAATCAAGTGGTTAATATTTAATGCAGGCTTGCATTTCAACTCTTGGTTTATTCCCCAAGATGAAAACTGATAAAATCTATTTTGAAATATAACAAATTTCAGTCAAAACAATATGCCAAATATTGCAGAATTTGTTCCGTAAGGGGCAAATTAGAAACAAAGCTCCAGATTTTCCTGACCATATGCTGTTTTCTTTGGTGTTTCTCTTACTTCCAACGGAGTCATAGATATGCAATATTTTGCTATTGTGTTATACATTAGGCAACTTCAACTGAGCAGAATCTTTTGAAAATATGCTACTTAAAGCCTTTTAAATTTTGAATTTTTTTTTCTTTTTTTTTTTTTTTTGGTACCAGAAATTGAATCCAGGGGCACTTAATCACTGAGCTACATCCCGAGCCACTTTATTTATTTATTCATTTATTTATTTAAAAATATTTTTTAGTTGTCAAGGGACCTTTATTTTATTTATTTCTATGTGGTGCTAAGACTCAAACCCAGTGCCTCACCATTGAGCCACAACCTGAGTCCCTAGCTCTTTCATTTTTTGAGTCAGAGTCTCTCTAAATTGCTTAGGGCCTAGCTAAGTTGCTGAGGCTGGCCTAGAACTTGGTATCCTTCTGCCTCAGTCTCCTGAGACACAGGGATTACAGACACGTGCCACCCCACCCAGCTTAAATTTTGATTTTTAAATTACTGAACTGAAGCAGAATATTTAAATTTCTCTAAATAAATTTCTCGTATATTATCTCTGCAAATGCCAAATCAGCTATTTTTCCCTTCCATCCCCTAAGTAAGAAACTGAAACAGTCATCAAGTGGTTAGTTAGTGGTAGAACTAGAACTAGATCCCTGTTTTCCTGGAAACTTTTCATTTTCCTTGAAATGCAACAGCCTTTTTCAGTTTGATGACARTTACTTTCAAGTCCCACAAATGTTGCTCTGTCAAACACAGATTTGTTTTCCTATGATGTTATCATCACATTTGTGGTTGTTAATCCTTCTAGGTGTCATTGAAATAGGAGCTGTGTTCAGCCTCTATCTTTTACAAGGCAGAGAGAGATCAATTAGAATCCTGTAAAAATGACACCAGCTCACACATCAGCTGTTTGATTTTACTTTTTTAGTTTCTCTGTAGGTAAATCCAGGCGAATCCATTGCCCAACTCCCAGGAAAGCAGGATGTTTCTCTTAATTACCTGAGATGTGGGTACACGTAAACATGATCTTCCACGAGTTGAGTACCAAAGACCCAGAAGAACTGTCTCTTAAATCTCACCGTGAACTAACTTCAGGGTCCATAGCAAGAACTGGGAAGTCCCTGAAAGCCTCTCAGTCCTCTCTAATTGTCTCTGATATACACATCAGTCTTCTTCTGAGAATCATTATCCTGGGAATTATGATCACTTCATTACAGAATTGGTTTTAGACTTCATTCTATACTGTGGACAATGAAAGCCAAGCTATATAAATGAAATTTATGAAACTAAGAAGCTGTGTGAGATAGAATGTTTGCATTAGGTTGACAGATGTCAATCCTGAGAAAGTTTGAAGAAATTAAATGATGACCATATTATGGTATTGTTTTGTGCATTGTTGCCTTAGGAAATGATGATGAAAATGTCATGGAGGTTAAGAAAGTTAACTTAGAAAAGTGTAAGAACATGGATGATTGGAGAACAATCATAAAGAAATATGTGAATTAATAGCTATTTACACTTGCAGTCTGGGGACAAAGGAGTCAATCTGTTTTCTCACTTTCCTATTATATGGGTGGTGGCGAACAAATGATTGCTTTAAAAGAATATGCATTTGTTTTTGCTTTATTTTACTTTGAAAACTTTTAGGTTGAGACAGCTGGCTTCTCTTGTCCTTTTAACATAACAAGTGAATAATAATAATTATTCTAGAACATACTTGTGGTCTAGCATTACCACATTGTGCTGAGCATGAAAATAAATCAGAAGTCCTTGCATGATGAATGTCACTCACTATAAACAATCTCCTCCCCTTTCTTTGATATATCCACCACTTTTCTTTGATATATCCACAAAAGTATTTCTCTTTTGTAACATTTCAGAGTCTGCCTGCTCTCATTTTACATCATCTTTCCAATTAACAATTAACATTTGCCATTGATTCTTAGAACTTTGTGAAATATAATGGTGTCATCCTTTTAGGTGTTCATATTTACTAAAATTTTTAGCTTTCTAAACTGACAACCAAGTGTCTTTGTGCGATGGGTAAGCCAAGAGAGGGGTGTCCTGATTTCTTTTTAGGCTGGATCATTTCTTCCTTTTGGGTAGCATTCTTCACTAGTGGATCTTGATTGGCCAGCCACCAGTTAAATCTAAGTAGTTTAAGTTAATGTGGGGAATCTTAGAGGTCAAAGAAACCCAGGATTACAAAATGGAATGGAGCCTTCATGACCAGTGATTTTAATTCACTCATGACTCAGCATGATGTTCTGCAACCAGCAAATACCATTGATTGTTCATTTCTAAATTTTTGCCCACCCCCCCTCATCTAATATTATATTTCAACTTTCAGCTTTCTTCTCTGGCCTCATTTCTCTGGAAACCATCTCATCTCTTTATTCTGTTCCCCGCACCCCTGCCTGTTTCATTAATGCTTCTTTAGAAACTGTCTGTAATTCCCAGATACTGCCCTGGAGGATGGGGGAGGGGAGGGTAAGTATCTTGATGCTTATTCTGGCTTTTTGCTCCTCTGATCTCTTTCTTCTCTAAGCTGCTCTGTCATTTTCTCTATTTAAATCTTACCTCTTTCATCTCTTATGGTGAATTCTTTATGGCAATCCTCTTTTGTGAGCAAATAGTCATGACATCCATTCCGTTTCTAATAAGAATTATTATATAGTGGCCTTCTGGAACATACTGTAAGGCCATTGGCATTGTAGAAGTCTGGCTGCTGGGACAGTGTCCACATGTCCTCTGCCATGGGCTCACCCAGGAGGCACCAGTTATGAGCTCCCTGGGTGCTGTGATTAGGGGTTGCCTTGTCCATTGTTACATCCCTGTTAAGCCTGGCACAGAATAAGTATTCAGTGGGTATTTGCTGAATTAACCCACAACCAAGAGATTCTCATTAGTTTCAGGTAAGATAATGAAACCTTTAACCAAATAGAAAAGTTTGGGTTTATTGCATAACAATGGAAAAATCTTTACTTGACTACATAGATTCTGATTGTAGATAGTACCTGCTATGGTAGCAATGCATTTTATTTATTTATAATTTTTTTTTAGTTGTCAATGAGCCTTTATTTTATTTATTTATATGCAGTGCTGAGAATCAAACCCAGTGTGTCACACATGCTGGGCAAGTACTCTGCCACTAAGCCACAATCTCAGCCTCTTATTTTATTTATTTATTTATTTATTTATTTATTTATTTATTTATTAGTTATAGTTGGACATAATGCCTTTATTTTATTTATTTTTATATGGTGCTGGGGATCGAACACAGAACCTTGCATGTGCTAGACAACCACTTTACTGCTAAGCCACAACCCCAGTCCCCTTTTATTTGTTTTTAAAATATGGAACACTTCACAAATTTGCTTGTTATCCTTGCACAGGGCCCGTGTTAATCTCTGTATCATTCCAATTTTAGTATATGTGCTACCAAAACGAGCATTAACAATCCATTTTAATCAGCTGATTAAAAAGATGAAAACTTAGAAACATGCAAAAATTAAGCAAAACTCTGGTGTTAATTTGAACATTTAAATATAAAATAAGTTTGTGCATCTTTCAGTGATTTATTCTTAAATATACGATTTGGATTAAAAGTATTTTTATACAACCTCCTTGAAGGCGGAATCTGTGTTTATAAAATGTCACATTTTCCATATTCATCATAGTATTTAGCACATAGCAGGTGCTTGCTAAGAATTTGTGAGCAGGGTCAGGGAGTAGGCTACAAACACTGATTATTTCAAGGAAGGGAATGAGTGATTATTAGATAAATAGTAAAGAAATCATTTTCTATGTATGTTAACCTCCAAGTTTATCTAGGAACCTCTGTGGTTCCAAATCTGCCTATGTGTGGAATGGAAGGAAGAATACTTTCTCCAACACATAAGATTTTCTTTAGGCTAGGGGTATAGCTTGGTGGTAGAGCACTTATCCAGCATGTGTGAGGCCCTGTGTTCTATCTTTAGCACCATTAAAAAGAATTTTTTCTTTTTGTGGGGATGCAGAGGGCCTACCCAGGATTGAACTCAGGGGCACTCAACCACTGAGCCACATCCCCAGCCCTATTTTGTATTTTATTTAGAGACAGGGTCTCACCAAGTTGCTTAGCACATCACTTTTGCTGAGGCTGGCTTTGAACTCATGATCCTCCTGCCTCAGCCTTCCAGGCTGCTGAGATTGCAGGCAGTGCCATCGTGCCCAGCTGAATTTTTTTCTTTTAGTACACATCATACCCAAAATACATGGGGAACCTTTCTCAAGGTTTGAACCTGTTTCATTATTTGCCCCTGCAGTTCAGACTCAGAACTCAGAGTAGAGGAAGGCTGTAGTGAGCTCGGGCAGTGAGTGCTGGATGCCAGCCCCTATCTTAACAATGTCTGTATCTGATTGGGATGTATTGTTCTCAACAGAAGAAAAGTGCCTTTCCACAACTCTGCCAATTTGAAAAAACTTCTGAAGTCTAATGTTTCAAGTAGTCAAATTATCATCCTTAAGAGGATTATTTTTAAAGAAAAGAAATGAGGCTGTGTTTTCAAATGTCATATTCTTCTGAAATRAATTTAAGTTAGCTTTTCCATTGCTTTTATAAAGCAACTATAAGATTTTCTTTAGGCTAGGGGTATAGCTTGGTGGCAGTTCATGAGCCTGGAAAGGATGGGTCATTTATCACTGATTTAATTTCCATACTGGCTAGCTGTATACAGAAAAAAAAAAAAAATTCTCTCCTTTGGGCACCTACAAGCCGCTGACACAGAAACTCCTGTAGTTACTCAAAAACGGAATGAGGCAAGGAAAAATGAAGACCACAGCATAAACCCAGTACTGGAAATTTAAAACACATCCAACTGACAGCGGATCAGTAGTGCAACTTTTATGCTGGACGTATGCAGAAAGTTTCTTTAAATTTAACTTAAACATATTCTTGTTTTTTGCAAGTTTCCTGATGAAATTTGACTCCCAGTGTTCATAACTAAAAATGACAACTTGAAGTGTAGTATAGATAGAGCCACCAGTTTAATAAAATTTTACCCTTAACCCAAGTACATAGTTCCAGATTCCTCAAAGATGTGGTAAGGTTGAAGCAAGTGATGACCTTTACGTCATTCATGTATTCAGTCATTCTTCATATATGTATTGAGCACCTGCCTGGGGGCAGCGTTATTCTAGATGATGTTGATAGAGTGGGAAGAAAGTCATCCAAGATCCCTGCTCTTGTGAAGCAAACATTCTAACACCCTAGATAGTCATTCAATCAATAAATAAGAAAAATACAGCTAGTATAGCAGCGCTAYAAGGGGAATTAGAATGGAGAGTTAGCTTAGATGAAGTGACTGGGAAGAGTTCATTTCAACTTGACAGATAGGATTTAACAGGGAGAGGGAGTAAGAGGAATCCAGGATAAGTCTTAAAATTAGGGTTTAGCTGAGAGTATTCAAAGAGTATCCCAAAGACCTGCACCAGACTTCAAACTGTCAATTTGAGATAACTATAGAAATGGAAATTAACCATTAAGGAATCTTTATAGCAACTTAACAGGGAAATATTATGTGCATAAATATAATAATTCTGTTTTCCTTGTTAATTTCATTTTGCTAGTAATTCATTTTGTTTTTATTTTACAAAAGTACAAATTAGAAAATTTTCAAAACCTGGTTTTTACCATAGACAGTATGAGAAGCACTGGTTGAACCATTTAACCAAGTAAATGAATCTCAGTGGCACCATTTCCTGAGATGAAGAGCAGGCTAGGAGCACCTCTGGGAGTCAGAAATCAGGTGTGTTGTTTGAGCCATACTAATTTTGAGATGCCCATTGAGCACCACAATGTAGAATTAATCATTGGGTATATGATTCTGAAGTTCTAGAGAGGAATCAGGCTTGGAAATAGGGCTTTGGGAGTCCTCAGCATACAGAAGCTGTCTGCAGCTGTGAGATTGAATGAGATCACCAAGAGTAGAGGATTAGGTGCCAGCAGAGGAGAATGATCAGATGTTGCTAGAGAAAGGAAGGAAAAACAGTATGGTGTGTCATGAAGCCCAATAGAAGAAAATGTTTCAAAAAGGAAAAGTAGTCAACTCTGACTTATGCTGCTGAGAGGTCAAGTAAGGTAAGAACAGAAAAGTGATGATTCCATTTGGCTAATTTACAGACCCTAACAGCAGCATTTTCAGTGGAACAGTGAGAACACAAGCTTAATTGGAGCAGCCTACCAAGAGAGTAGGCAACAAGAAAGCCATCTGGTAACAATAGAGGTGGGGGTATTTCATTGCAGTTGCTTTTTGTGTGTGTGTGTGTGTGGCACTGGGGATCAAACCCAGGGCTTCATGCATGCTGAGSAAATACTCTCTCACTGAGCTGTACCCCCAGCCCTATAGTTACTTCAAATAGTTCTGTTGTTAAGGGAACTGAGAAATGTAGTGAAGGCCATCGTAGAGCTAGGAGAGGTTTATTCAGGACAAAAATGTCTAGAAGAGACAGGAACTTGGTRATGCAGGCATGTATCAGAATGCAGGGAAGAACATCTTTGCCAAAAAACTCTATAGGCAGTTCTGCATATTTAAATGAATGTTAACTGTAGTTATAGAAATTATATTCCATTTTCACTCTAGTCCCTACAGAATTCTACTGAAGTTCCAGTTTCAAGGTAAGAAATCAGAATTCACTAAGGCAGTTTGGGATTTTAGTAGAAATACTGAAATTTCCCTTTATGCTCCATGGCAAGTGGCTGGCAGTGGGACATGCCTGCTTCATTGAATTTCGTAGTATAAATCTGATATCTGAATCTGTAAATTACATCCTCAATTATAGTGGTGGACATGTTCTTCCTCACCATAGGGATAGAACTTTAAACATATTTGTCATTTTGACAGGAGTACAAAATTTCAAGCTTTGAACAGAGGCTGATGAATGAAATAGAGTTTCGCTTGGAACGTACACCTGTTGATGAATCAGATGATGAAATCCAACACGACGAGATCCCCACGGGCAAGTGTATTGCTCCCATCTTTGACAAAAGACTCAAGCACTTCCGGGTTACAGAAGGCTCTCCAGTCACATTCACCTGCAAAATTGTTGGCATACCTGTTCCAAAGGTAGGAGAAGATGACCAGCAATTAACCATCCAACAGCACAGAATGATAGACAGTGTGTTCAAAACGGTCTTAACATACTCTTGTGTATCTACAGAGGGAATGAAAATCAATACGAGAAATGAGCAAAACCCAGTTATTTGACTAAAATGAGAATATCAGGAATAGGATCATTAAATAAAGCAAAAAGAAATCAGACTTGTTAGAATTTTAATAAAATTTCTGAATAAATTTTTTAGTCACAATACTGTACTATGGGCTATTGATTCTCTTAACCATCAAACTCATCAGTCTAACATTTTTCATTATATTTAAAATCTATTGAATACACATAGGGTGCCTGTTGTACAAAGCAAGCTATATTTGTATTATTACTATTAGGTTGGTAAATGCCGAAAATGTCATATCATTATCACTGACTGCTGAAAAATCTTATGAGTCACCAGATTTTTTGGCAAGTCAGCTAAGAGAAGGATTTACACCTGGTGTGGCTGTGGCAGGAGATCTCTTCACTCTACTTTCACAAACATTTGCCTGATGTTATTATCTATGGTTAGGTAACCAGGAAAAGTAGAAAGGGCAGTTGCAACCAGTACTTTATCCCCCCTGTCTTTGAGAGATATCCTTGACATATGCAGAACTTGTCAGGAAGAAAAATTTTTTATTTTGGCTAGATGAGAAATTTAGCTAGTTAATTCTAGCCTTATTCAACTTGGTATATTAAACCATACTCTCCTTTCAAGCATGGTGAGCTATCATGGGTACTGAGATCTGCAATTGCAGGAGACTTAAATATGTATATAAGTAATAAGAAAAGAGCCAGGTAACTGTTTTCATTATTTTGCCTCTGAAGACACATCTGGTTCTTAGGGTATCTTCTAAACTAATAATGAAGTACAATAAAATACTCAAAAGCTTTATCTTAGTCCTAAATTATATTGAATTTTTGACTTAAGTATTATATAATGGAGGGGTATATCATACTATCATTTTAAATATGTTTTATAGCCTTTTTTCCAAGTGCTTTGAAAAGAGGAACATGTTGTAGAAATGATAGTTGACACTTGCCTCACCCTACTCCCTAGTTCTTTATCTTCTAAAGATATATGGAACATTATATATGCACATATATACATGCACACAAGCATATACATATAATCTTCTTGATTATCTTTCACTTCAGGTTTACTGGTTCAAAGATGGGAAGCAGATTTCTAAGAGAAATGAGCACTGCAAAATGAGGCGAGAAGGAGATGGGACGTGTTCTCTGCACATTGAATCCACCACCAGTGATGACGATGGCAACTACACCATCATGGCAGCCAACCCCCAGGTGGAGACGCAGGGTTACGCACTGTGCTGCACTCTGAGGAAGGAGCGGTTGATGTCATTGTGAATGAGACCTTGAGAAGTGCGAGTTACTCAGGATTACTGAGGAAAATGAATGAGAAGCATTGTGATTGTGTGTAACTAGAGTGCAGTATCACAACCTAAAAGACTAGTTAGCCACTGACGGAACATTTCAGGCTTTGTCAAAGGACATTGGTACTATTTCTTCACTACATTTCCCTCCCATACCTGTTGGGCTGAATTTTATGTTTGTCAACTCCTTGAGTCTCTTGAGGAGTTAATGAGTCATTCTACCAATTATTCTATCAAAGTACAATATGTCATTTTTGTTCTTAAGAGAATAGGTAAATTACTTCAAAAAGGCCTTAAGTGTCCTTCAAATTCATATCCTTCTTTTTCTTGATAAAAATTGAAAAGTCATAATCTAATCTCTCACCTTCTTTTTTGAATGAGGCCAAGTCTTAAAATTTCCCTAAAAGATAGGCCAGAAAAAAATATCTTTAATTACTAATTTTTAAAATAGTTTTTTTTTTTTTTAACTTGGAGATGGACTCAATACTTTTTATTTACTTGTTTGTTTATGTATGTATTTATTTATTCACTATTTATTTATTCATTTATTTATTTTTATGTGATGCTGAGGCAAGCGCTCTACCACTGAGGTACAACCCCAGTCCTTAATCACTATTCAAATACAAAGTACAGAATTATAATTTCTGCTCTCATCCACTCTTCCTAGTGAAAGAACAGGATGAATCTCTATTGAGAAAAGTATAAAACTATTTGGCCATGCTCTCTACATTGTGGCTACAAGTTGTATTAGGTTCACAAAAATTTAAAGAAAAATTTTTATATTTGTGCTCTGTTCATTTCTCAGGTTAAAATAAAAATCATCACGATAGTCTTAAAAAAATCTCTACCCCTAGAATATGAAGACAAGAAGTCATATTATATTGTTTTCATTCCACTCCTACAAAGAAAAATTCATAATAGCAAAAAGTTTCATAATGTTCTAATGCAGAAAAAAAACATATAGATTGAAAAAAAAAACGTAGATTTCTTTCTTTTTTCTTTTCTTTTCTTTTTTCTTTTTCTTTTTTTTTTTTAATTCAGTACTGGGGACTGAACCCAAGTCATTTCACATGAGCCCTTATCACAGAGCTACCCACCCCCCAGCCCCCATTCCTTTTAACTTCTGAGACAGGGTCTCACTGAGTAGCCTGACTTGTGATCCTCCTCCCTCAACCACCACAGTGGCTGGGATTGCAGGTACACACTACCATGTCCTTCTGAAGTTCTTAATTTAATCTTGTTCTTTTCCTATTTCTCAGGGGAGAATCAGCTGTTCTGGCCACTTGATGGTACAGAGTTTGCCCATTCGCAGTCGGCTAACCCCTGCGGGTCAGTCTCACAGGTAAAGATAGGAAGAATCCACTTTCTGGGGGCTCCTCCCATATGCCTACCCTCCACAAACAGCACCAAAGTTGTTACTTAAAGGTAGCCTTCCGCCAGCAGCACCAGCACCACTTAAGAGTTTGTCGGAAATATAGAAGTTCAAGCCAACCCCAGATTACCGAATCAGAATCTGCATTTTAACAACATGCCATGTGATTCACAAGCACATTAACATTTGAGAAATACTGATCTTTGGTACATTTTAATGGTTAAAAATTTGTAACCATCAGTAGCACCTGTGTACGTAAGATATAAATTAGATCCTTTGAATTGAGTCACTGTCTTCTCTTTAATAAAACAGGAGCCTTTAATGATTATATGTATATAGAGCAATTATTTTTGCTGTCTCCACTACAGCAATTAGCTTTTTATCCTCTCTGATTTTACTAATCACTAAGAAGAAAGAGCGTGGCTTGAGTCTTATGGTGCCACAAAGTCTTAGCAAAGCATTCCATAGTTGCTGACACATATGAATTAAATGTGACTTACCAAAGGAATAAAAATAGCAACCCATGTTTCAGCTACAGTATTTCACCAGCCTTGCAACTATACCTTCTTCTTTTTTTAAGAACAGCTGTTACTGTTGGTCAGTCTTACCCAGTTTAAGTTCATGGACATGTTTAATGGTCTGCCATAATTTATAACCAGGTTAAACTTTATTACTCAAAGCCAAAGAGATTGAAGCTGCCTTGTTCTGGATAATAAACAGGACTTCTCTTTTGGTCTCTCTTTTGAGGTTCAGATTGAATACTGATTTATTTGTTTATTTTGATGTCTTTTGAACAACTGGTCAAACCCACAGCAAGCAAGCTGAGCCACTTAACCCAGAATGACTTCAGAGAGAAAGAAGCTAAAGCCTGTTTATTTGATTACAGATCTCCCAAGATAATCCTACAGTTTATGACATGCTTACCACTTTGCTTTCTTTTTCTTTTTAATTAACTCCACACTATCATTATTATTATTATTACTATTATTATTATTATTATTAATTTTCTGCCCTAGAAGGCTCTTTCCCCTCCCCACCCCAAAAAAAGAAAGAAAGAAAAAAAAAAAAAAAAAAACGCTGCTGCTGTCTTTATAGTCCTATAGCCATGCCAAAATACCTGTTGCTATGAGTTTGTAAAATGGCTTCTATGTCTGAAACCTGAACATACTTGTTCTAGGGGAAGGTCCCGAGTGCAAGAAAGAGACAAAGAGCCTCTACAGGAACGCTTTTTCCGACCACACTTTCTGCAGGCTCCTGGGGATATGGTAGCTCACGAGGGGCGCCTCTGTCGGCTGGACTGTAAGGTAGATTCTTAGCACTTGTCCTTAGTTCCAGATCTACTCAGATTTTGCATTTGATTATTTGCTTGCATTTATATTTTTGTTTGTATTTGTTTTGTTGGAGCTGTGGTTTCCAAAGAAGGAATTCTTGGCAAAGGGATAGGTCATTTTCCACATAGGCTTTTTTGGAAAATTTAATACCAGACAAAATTAAATTATTTCATGAAATTTTTAAGTCATTATATTTTTTGGCATTGTATTAAGTTAATTGCATTTTTAAAATACAACCAAGGAGGTGATATAATTTGAACATTTCCTTCCACGTGGTGTCTGGAAAGTTTTTATTTCTGTGTGATTTTTTTTTTCTTTGTATCCCTGAAATGATTATTATGAGGTGTACCCTTTAAAAAATTATAGTCATGAAACAATGATTGTGAGGCAGTTTAGGAGAGCAGAACATGGTTTCTCATACTAATAAACATCCATCACGTTTAGTGAATCTGTATTCTAATTTTTAAATTAAAAACTAGGTGTGAGATGAGTAGGGCAGATACCTCTTAATATGATGAGAAACTTAAGTCACCACTTCTACCCCAGACAAAATGCGGAATGCTGTGGAAAATTTAGATGCAAATTTGGGAAGGCTTGAGGTTAAGCATTCGTTCAGAATGCACCTCTATCAGTGATTCTTAGTCTCCCATTGCTGCCTAAATAATATTCAGATTGACTTATTTCCCCCTCACAAAACTCTAAAAACTACAAGGTCTGAGTCCTCTCCTTAGAGATTCTGGTTTAATATTCTAAGTGGACACTGGAGTTTTTTTAATATGTATTTTTTTTATTTGTACACAATACATTTATTTACTTTTATGTGGTGCTGAGGATCGGACCCAGTGCCTCACACATGCTAGGTGAGCTCTCTACCGCTGAGCCACAATCCTGGGCACTGGAATTTTTAAACCCTCTCTATCCTCTTATAATTTGCAGCAAAATTTGAGAACCCTGGTTTATTATCTGACCTTTCTCATATCTAACTCATGCTTATTAAGTTTACAAGCAATATATCATCTCTGATGTTGATGCTTCAGGTCTGTCTTATCTATAGCTTAATTCTTATTTATTCTGATGAATATAATCAAATAGATTAATCGTGACCTAAACTGGGGTCAAAATACCATATCATTTAAATTCATGCAGCAATTCATTCAGAACCCTCCCTCTTCTCCCTGTACTGCTCCAGAAGGGTTCTCATCACTCCATGTTTTCTCTCACTGTATACTTGCCAAACAAGGATGAAGAATTCAACCACCAAATAAATCTGCCTGTCATCAGTCTGTCATTTGCCTCAGCTGTCCTGTTGTTTATTAGGTGAGTGGCTTACCGCCCCCAGAGCTGACGTGGCTGCTCAATGGCCAACCTGTGCTACCAGATGCCTCCCACAAGATGCTGGTCAGGGAGACGGGAATCCACTCTCTGCTCATTGACCCACTCACCCAGCGGGATGCGGGGACCTATACGTGTGTGGCTACCAACAAAACTGGGCAGAATTCTTTTAGTCTGGAGCTCACTGTAGTAGGTAAGGTTTGCTGCTGGGACCCCCAGACATAACTCCCTTCAAAATTATTGTGCAAATATGCAGAATCTCTGGCAGAATTCCTTAGTCCTTTTCTCCGCCAATCTCAGTTTCCGCTTCACTGTAGTAAGGACCATATTTCTAGATTGCTTTCAAAAACAGTGTTAATGTTAAACCAGAACGCAGAACCTTGTACATATTACACATGCAATAAAGGGAGCATTGTAATTATTCATTGAGCAATCAACAAATTGACTGTCACTACATTCCAGTCATTTGTCCTGCAGTCAATGTATTATTCCTGAAACATACCAGGCTTTTTTTTAAATCTCCCTAAGTTACAGGCCTTTACATCTGTGGCCCCTCTATCTAGAATACCCTTCTTAGCCCAGCAGCTTCTTATTCATTGTCTAAAGACTAACTCAAGTGTCACCCCCCTGACACAGTAGATCCACCAAGCACAACTACTCCTTCCCAGTCCTCCTCTGTATTTCTATGCCAGTAATCTCAGCTACTGGAGGGATGAGGCGAAAGGACCACAAATTCAAGCCCAGCCTGGGCAACTTAATGAGACCCTTTATCTCAAAAAAAAAAAAAAAAGAAAGAAAGAAATGAAAAGCAGGAACTTTTAGAGAGCTCATGGCCTTCTGTGTAATTGTTCATTTCTTTGTGTGAGCTTCTGAAGTCAGAGACTCTGACTTGTGTGTATCTCTAGTATCAGCCTTAGTGCCTAGAACATGGAGGGTGCTTGGCAAATTTGAGCTGATAAGAGAACAAACCCTTATCTTATAAGCTAATGTGAACAAAATGCTGTCATGCCTATAGAAGAGGAAAGCAAAACATCACCTACAAGGAGCCACCCCTATAGGGCAGCAGTCTAGCCAGAATTAAGTTTCAGAATTTAGGAATTCTGGAGTTGGGTTTTCTCCTGCTGTCTTGCAGTCTGATGAGCTCACAGTATCTTCAGCACATCATTCCTGTCTGCAAATAAATGCTTATTTATCTTTTTTCCATTCCTTACAATGAATTTCCTCTTGCCAACAGAATAGGAAAGATTCATTTTGCAAGGATACATTGATTGCAGATCTTTACCTTTTTCCCCACCATTTTGCTTTAACCTTGACTTAGAAACCCTGACATAAGAGGTTCTGGACAAAAGAAAGACCTTCTTAGAAAGTGTAATTTTGTGTATTTTAAAAAACCATATGATTCTGTAGTATGAGGTTATTTTTTTTTTCCAAAACAAAAAGTTGGGGAAAACTGATACATCTATGAAATACATTCCTCAAAAAAAGAAAAAAAAAAGGATCAATTTTAGTGTATAAAGAATATTGTTTCTCAAAAGTTATTATTGCACAGTTAAAGAAAATCCTCTAATTTAACCATTCCTAGCATTTGCATCCCAGATCTTCAAGTGTTATCTCACACGGGATGTACAGAGATGGCTGGCCCAATTTTTTTTTTTTTTTGTAAACATTTATGGAGCTTGATCAAGGCAATGATCCTCACTAAGGGGTACAAGAAGTGTTCTGAATTCCAGAATGTAGTGTATTTGAGGCATGAACTTCAAAGCACTTACTATTCAAACAAGAAATCTCTTCTCTCATTCAGCAAAAGAAGTGAAGAAAGCACCTGTGATCCTGGAGAAACTGCAAAATAGCGGTGTTCCCGAGGGCCACCCAGTGAGACTGGAGTGCCGCGTGATAGGCATGCCCCCACCCGTGTTCTACTGGAAGAAAGACAATGAGACCATCCCTTCCACCAGAGAGAGGATCAGGTATGGCAGCCACCACAGGGACCTGTGCGCTTGGAGCACATGTTGGGCCACCTAATAAGATTGTAGCCTTTTGGGTCTTGCTTCCTAGCAATAGGCTCTTGAGTTTCATTCACATTATTGTGTATATCAAGAATTTATTCCTTTTTTTTTGTCGTTGTTTTTTGTTGTATGTTGTATGGTTGTCTCAGAGATTAAAAACTTTAAGTTTAAAATTATACAATAAATTTATGAAGTATTTATGGCTTCTATATCCCCACCTTCTCACCGATGTGTCTCTGCTTGTAGCTTTTCTTCCTTGAGTACTCTCTTCCATGTTTTCCTCCAACTACGGTCTACCTCCCCAGTGTCTGTGATCCCTCAGGCTCAGCTCAAAATCTTGACCTCCAGGCAGAGCAGTGCCCCTGCTTCCTCCCCTCCCCAGTCCAGGACTGGGTCTGTATTCTGTGATCCAGGTCTGAGCCCGTTTTCTGCTGTTGCACATGGCCATTATTGTTAGTGTTATTGGTTTCATTCTGTGTCACCTCGACTGGACTGTGAGCATCTGAGCTTAGATGAGCATCTTAGCTTTGTCTTTGTATGTCCTGACTCCTCACAACACCAAGCACCTTGCCTTTTACTGGTAGCAATTTATACAGAATGAATGAACAAATGCATGCATTTCCTCAACTCACTAAACTGAAGCAACAGCATTCTAATATGTCTCTGACACCAGGCACAAGCCCTATTCAGTTCTCCTCCTCACCACTGTTAGAATGGTCTTTTACAAATGCAAACTGATTACACCACTTGCAGCTTAAGATGTGTCAACAGTTCCTTATCACCTGAAAGGAAGAATCCCAACCTTTTACCATGTACATGTGGCTCTCTCTCCTGCCTTGTCCCTAGTCCTCCCACCTGCTAGTCCCCATTAACTCTCCACTCCTGGCCATAATGAACATGCCACCCTCTCTTCTATACCATCATGTCTTTGCTCAAGTTGTTCCACTACCTGGAACAACCTCATCCCCAACCTTTTTTTTTTTTTTTTTTTTTT